ATCCCTTCCTTTCTATTGAGATTCCTTTTGCATCAGCTTTACCGATTTGTGAATCATGAGCTTTTGCTTCTTTTTTAGTGAAAATTTTCATAAATGATGCAGCAATAGCTTTAAAGCTAAAGGAACTTTCCTTTTCATCAATGGCTGCCTTTTGATCAGCATTTCCTTCTTCTTCTTCATCATGATCCTCATCACTCTTTGAACTCCCAATCTCTTCATCTGTTTCACTCTCTAATGGCATCAAATCGTTTTGACTCACATTTTCACATTCTTCTTCTGAATCAGTAGTGCTGGCAGCTTTCAGTTTAGCAGCCTCCTTCTCTTCTTCTTCTTTGCACTTTGCAATCATTTCTTTTGCAATCTCTGCCCCTTCCTCCATTCCAATCTTCTTTACATTCAAGGCACTCACAGTCTCTTTAAAGCCCACTTCTTTCATTATTTCTTCAGCATCTCTCTGAGCAATCCTTCTAGTTGCTTCCCTTCCTTCAGACAAGTTAAAATTTCCAATTCCAACTTTTGTAGAAACAGATATTCCAGGACGCATGTGTGTACCAGCACTAATGTTACCAGCTTCCACTCCTGGTTTCAATTCAGCATTAGCACTTACTCCACTACCTCCATGTCCACTTAATTGAACATTAGCGAATTCTCCTTCAAATCCCCCTGTGCTAACACTTGTTTTAGCTGAAGCTGTAGCATCTATCCCAGTCACTCTAACATTTGCTGCTTTTATTGTTGAGCCTTCAACACTTGCTGTAGCTTTTGCACTTGCTCCTCCTTTTATTCCTTCAACAGTTGCTGTACCCATAATCACCTTTTTACCTGTTATATTCACGTCTGCACTTGTTTCAATCTTTTTTTCTACTCCAACAACTTTTGCTGAACCAAATTGTCCATCAAACCCTTCAACTTCAACTTTAGCTCCAACACGTGCTGTAGCATTAGCTCCAGAGACATCTGCTTTGCCTGCATTGATACTAGCACCTTTTACTTCTGCTGAGCTGGAGGCATTTGCTGTTGCTTTAGCTCCAGAAATGGTAGTGTTTCCAAAACTAGCAGCTACACCAGTTGCTTCTGCTTCAGCAGATGCACTGGCATCCGCTTGTCCTCCAGTTGCTTTTACTTTAGCTATTTCAGCAGCCACGCTAACACCTTCAGCTTTCCCTGATGCACCAACATTACCTTCAGCACCACTGACATCAGCTTTAAGAGCCGACACATCTCCACCTTTAACTGATGCTTTAACATCTACTCCAACATTTCCCTTTCCTCCTGTTACTTTTAAATCCGCTGCAGTTGCACTTAGGCCCTTCCCTTCTACATTGACATTTATCTTGCCTTCTCCTTTCACACCAGCTGCTGTCACTGTTGCAGTTTTTGTTTCAATCCCTTTAGCATCAGCACTGACGCTCAATCCCTTCCTTTCTATTGAGATTCCTTTTGCATCAGCTTTACCGATTTGTGAATCATGAGCTTTTGCTTCTTTTTTAGTGAAAATTTTCATAAATGATGCAGCAATAGCTTTAAAGCTAAAGGAACTTTCCTTTTCATCAATGGCTGCCTTTTGATCAGCATTTCCTTCTTCTTCTTCATCATGATCCTCATCACTCTTTGAACTCCCAATCTCTTCATCTGTTTCACTCTCTAATGGCATCAAATCGTTTTGACTCACATTTTCACATTCTTCTTCTGAATCAGTAGTGCTGGCAGCTTTCAGTTTAGCAGCCTCCTTCTCTTCTTCTTCTTTGCACTTTGCAATCATTTCTTTTGCAATCTCTGCCCCTTCCTCCA